GGAATGCCTAGAGAGGGACAAGAGCTGTGTCACGGCATGGGGGAGCCGGCCGTTGCCCCACGCTCCCAGCATGGCTTGGAGGAAATTCACAGCCAGGAGAGATTCCAGCTGCCATCTTCCCCACCCACACCTGCCACGAGCATCCCACAGGAACCAGCGATGTCCTTCAGCCCGGATGCCAGCCCACTCCTTCCACCCGCTTCTCTAGGTAGCGACCGGAGCAACCGCAGACCCCCGAAGCGGAGGGTGCCGGGGGGGGCCTCACCTTGTGGTGCTGCTTGACGATGTTCACCAGGTTGCGGTTGAATTCTTTCCTGCGCTCCAGCAAGCGCGATGCCGACAAGTGCGGGCGGCCATCTGCTTTCTCCTCTGCAAGGGGAGACACGAGCATCACCCGTGGCATCTCGGCAAAGTGCGGCAACACCGTGACGGGGCCCAGCGTAGAGGAAGGACAGGATCAGCCTCGGGGCTGAGTTGCTGCCAGAATCGCTGCCCATCATCCTCCCACTCGCCCCAAAAGTGTTTTTCCACTTCCAACACACTCAGACCTTTATGTATCGGATGATTATCTCACGGACCAAGCAAAGAACATCCCTTGGGGTTCAGGGATTCCCAGCCAGGACCGAGCGTGCCCCAGCTCTCAGGGTTCCCCGAGCCACACGTACCTTCCCCCAGCACCGGCTCCAGCGTGAGCTGGTAGTCAGACTTCTTCGCGCCGTTGCCGAAGGTGGGGATGTTCTTCTCCTGGCGCAGCCTGTACGAGGTGGGGTATACTGCCTTGATCTGCCCCATGTGCCGCTCCTCAAACTGCCTGCAACAGCATCCGGGGAGGTTGGGAACCCCAAGGGCTGACACCAAGGAACCAGCCCCAACAGCTTCAGCTGGGACCCCAAAATGGGCTCGGCAAGACCGGCACGGGCTGCCCGCCGGCACCGCCACCGACTTACTTGCGCATCATGTCCTGCACCCCCTGCTTGACCTTCGCGAAGGTGATGGTCTCGGAGCGGTTGAAGAGCATCCCAGCGATGGTGTCCACGCTGCGGAACATCTCCGCCAGCACCTTGAACTTGTAGGGCAGCGTGAGCCCCGGGGGCAGGTCCTGCGCGAGGGTGTGGAACCGCTGGTACGCGGGGGGCTTCTCGCTGCTGGGGAAGGAGAGAGGTGAGGGTCCCCCCCGCACAGCAGGCACCGGACTGACACCAGCCAGGACGGGGGTCCCACCGCCAAAAGGTGCTGACCTCAAAGCCGAGGAGCTGCGTGCCCACCCCGATTAGGGGACACCCCTCTCCTCCCCCATCCTTAAACTCTGCTCTGAGCAACCTGTGCTGGTACCTGGGTCACGTCACCCACCCTCCGTGTCCTGGGGGTGCGGATGCCCCAACATTCATGGCAGGGTCAGGGTGGCTTGGACCACGCTCGAGTGCTTCAGAGAAGCCCTCTGCATGCAGCAGGGCCAGCCAGCGCTCCCGCAGAGCCCCCACACCCCCCTCACAGGGGCGGGAAGACCCCCTGCACGCCTGCTGCAAGGCTGAGCAGCAGCAGAGGGCTACGGCAGTCACCAGGACGGTGCGGATGCCCCAACATTCATGGCAGGGTCAGGGTGGCTTGGACCACGCTCGAGTGCTTCAGAGAAGCCCTCTGCATGCAGCAGGGCCAGCCAGCGCTCCCGCAGAGCCCCCACACCCCCCTCACAGGGGCGGGAAGACCCCCTGCACGCCTGCTGCAAGGCTGAGCAGCAGCAGAGGGCTACGGCAGTCACCAGGACACCCCGATTTCCCACCAAATCTGGGGGTGCATCCCCAAAGCTGCTCCTCACCCGGCCTCTGCCACAGGAGCTGCTGTCCCGGTGTTCTCGGACGGCTGCGCTCCTGGTGCGGCTCCGCTTCCCGCTTTTTTCTCACGGATCCGCAGCTCCAGTTGCCGCACTCGCTCCAGACGGCTCCGCAGGTCGGTCCCGGTCC